TACAGCATATCCACACTTCCACTGCCCAGTTTCAAGCGCTGGAAGCAGCAAAAAAGCTTCTGCTGCTTCATTTTTGATGCTTGTACACATTAAGGCACGAAGCTCCTCAAGTGCATCTTTGGGCTCCTGAAGCGCATCCAGTAAAGTGGGTCCACATGCATCAAATGCTGCTACTGCGTTTAATGACAGAGAGCTGCGTTTTATAAGTGAGAAAGTCCACATCAGAACATTGTCTGTGCAGGCATTTCATCAAGATTAGATTCTGCCTTCAAATATTATTTCGTACCAGCACGAAACCTCGTTCACCGGCGGTGCTGTTAGTGAAAATCCCCTTCTAGAGCTTACTCTGGCCTGGTCGCCTCTTGAAGGTTTTCCACTACTATTTGTGGCAGCTGGAAGTAGCGGTTTTCATGTACGTAATCCAAACTGCACACACCTAAATAATAAAAGCAAAAACTTTTTTGCCGGCAGGTTTCGACATTTTAAGTAAATTTAGGCATTAATAAACTGTTTTAGGAGTGTGATCATAGCGCTCTGCATCAGCATTTCTGTTCTGTCTCCCTGCCAACTCCCAGATCAGCTTCTCCTATTGGTTGATGTGGCACGTGAAGCAGCTAAAGTACATTTTTTCCAACTCCAGCAGCTGCTGTTTGTGCAGCGTGTCACGCACATCAGATGCTCAGAAGCTAATAAGATGCGCTGCCCCTGCTGCTCGAAACATGCTGCACAACCTTTAGATGCACCTTGATGCACATCAAACATCGACTTTGCATGTAGACCTGCTGCTTCAGCAGTGTACACTCTAACTGTATCATATATCTACACAATAGGAAGGAGGCATAGATCCATATTACTTATCATGTAACTTTGGAGGGTTTTTTATTTTCAATATAATAGCATATTTTGTCTTTGCTGTGGGTTTTCAGTATTTGACCCTTTGCATACTTCAGTGTTTGTTTAACAGGATTTTTTTTTTTATGTAAAAACTTGGTTAAAAAAAACGCAACAACAAAAAAACATGGAAATGGAAGCGAAGCTAGAAAGTGCCTTTGACCCTTAATCATTAATCTGTTTCTCAGCTCCTTATCAATTTGTGCTTATTCCCCTGTGTGTGTCTGTGTATAAATAGATGCTGGAAGTCTAGATGAGTGTTTCAGCTGTTGGCTGAGATGTTTAAAAAAAAAAAAAAAAAAAGCAAAATGGGGTCAGAAGGTCCAGTAAATATTTTGTACCTGTAAAAGAATAATTCTATGTAACTAGGTTTTATATAACAAGATGCACACAGTCGTGTGAGAGAAAAATGTGTGTCTATTGTTTCAATTTTCTCATTTTCTTACTGATTAAATAAATGTGAATGAAATGCAGCTTCATTTTGAGCCACAAGTTCCAAGGAAACTCAGCCCTAAATCCTTTTTTTTTATCACGCATCTTTTCAGGAATCATAGTGTGTACTAGTGCTCTAAACTTAATTAGGCAGCTGTCCTGTAGCTTTTAAACATTCTTGCTTCTTTACACCTGCCTCCAATATGAGCGCATTAGCAGAGCTACAGTATATAGCTCGGCTGCTGCTGGTGAGGTAACCATTTGATTCAGGGTTAGAGGCAAAGGACACAACTAAAAGTTGCCGGACACCAGCCATTGAGATCACTGCTCTATGACTTCATCTCTCCGCCTCTAACTTTGTCCAGCTATTCTGAGTCATTTGTGGTAGAGCTGTATTTCCTGACAGATTATTTACTAATTAGCTTGGTTGTAAAGACATCATTTTATTTAGGGTCATCAGGGTTTTCTAATAATGTACTACTTGGTTTTGGTTTATAAAATAAAATCTCACCAGAATATCGTTGTGCATGCTTGGGACATTTTTGTGCTTGTCGGCTACAGTAATCTGCAAGGATAAATAAAACAAGTTAACATAATGAAGTTTTGCCTTCCAAATTGACTTAAGATTTTTCGTCACAGCAACAGCACAAACTTTTTTTTTCCTCCCAAAACTGTTTTTAATATAATTGTGCATGGATAGGAGGATATAGAAACCAAAGTTGATTTAAAGCATCAGATCTTTTGGAATCTTAATTAGGCCTGAACTTTCACAGAAAAACGAAATCACATTTTCCTCTGTCGATGCAGCTTGGTGGCCACAGGCGTCTCAGTCTGAGTGGGGGGAAAAAAAGGCTCGTGTAGTAAAAGACCATCATGACCCAGACTGTCAGCATGCATCTTTCTCAAAATATTATACAAGCTTCTGTTGCATGGAGGTTGAAAGCTGGATATTTTTCCAGGCCAGGAGAAAGTAGTCAAATGGACATACAGAGCCTTAAAAAAGTGTCATTGAAACTGGGGGAGATTTCCACTATAGTGGAGCGATGTGTGAGCGATCATCACATGCTGAACAACCATTACTTCTCCTCATACAGCTATAAATGTCTCTATCTCAGCTGCCTTCCTCTTTCTCTGCACTTAAAGTATTATCTCCCACAGCTAAGTGTTTTTCCTTATGCAAAGCATCTTTAGTTTTAATAACACAGCTCGTTAGTTTGCAAGTAATGTGATGTTATCGCCAGTTGTGAAAATTGGCAAAAATATCCACTTCTGAAAAATATAACTGTTAGTAAAGCTGTTATGCAATGTCATTACTCCCATGCTGCCCATTGTGAAGCAAAAACAAATATGACAAAATGACAGAAAATCTCAGTGTGAATAACCGTTTGATTAGTTGGTACATCAAGAAACATTTCACAACAATTACTACTGCAAGTCGCATTGGATGAGCCTCTGAGCCTACCACAGCCTGCAGGATTTTTGCTCATTTCCAAATGGGAACTTCTCCTGCTCCTTATTGTTGACTGTTTTTTTGCTTCCAAACAGAAATGTTCCAGTCTAATGACAGATTTATATCTGTATTCAGGTCTGGACTTTGTTTGGCTAAAATCCGACACCTAAAAGTGTTTCCCATTAAACCACTTAGATGGTTGCTTTATAGTAGATGTATGCTTCAGATTATTCTCTAATTGGAAGCTTAAACAGACTAACACAGGATCTGCTTAATAAAGTCCCTATATACTGTATAGCTTCAGCCATCTTTCCCTTATATTTGACTACTTCCCAAGTCCCTGCTGCCTTCCCAAAGCCTGACTTTTTTTAGACTCCTGTTGCTCCACCTGAGAAAGGAAACAAGCAACTATCGGGACCCCTGCAGTCTGTTTCTCACCATGGAGTTTGAGTTAAAGATGATGTCTTAGGGTTTGCTGCAAGACACTTCTGGGAAAATGTTTTTTTTTTTGTGGGACTTGACACCTAATCAAAGTCATCCAGCTTAAAGTTGGAATACATAAAAAGTAAACTAAAGTCAGTAAAACAAATTGGTTTCATATTGTGTTAGTGATATGATCAAAATGGTACAGATTTCCATCTTTCGATCTGTAGGATCTAAGTTTCAACCTGATCTGATTTTATTTTTCTGGGGCTAAAGAATGTTCTTTAGGTTCTTGTGACATAAAATGAAAATAAGTTGATATTTAATGAAGGCATATAAGCAAAAGTTCCTGACCTTTTTGTTTATAATTATTTATAACTTGAACTTGAAGCTTGCAAGGAAACGTTGTTAAAGGATACATTTGAAGACTAATTATATTGTGAGTTATTGGGTTCTAGGCATTAAAATATTATTAAAATACTGAGATTCGATCAAACATTTACTAATCAGAGTCAATTATGCACCATTCTGATTCAAACTTTACTGGAGCATCTTTAGTTTTAATATAAAGATTTTTTTTCTAATCATAAACTTTTTTTTACATTTTTACATCCGTGTATTTTTATGGCTCTTTAATTACTTTGACTGACTTAACTGGAAAAAAAATCCTATATTTTACTGAACCAAATCTTTCCTACTTTCATTTAATAAATCGACCGATCCTACATTAGATATCCTCTCTTTCTGCCTGATTTGAAGTCTCCTGCATATCAGAGGGAAGGAATGGATTTTAAATTTCCCTGGAGAAATTATTAGTACAGCATGTATCTGAACCAGGTACAGATTAAAAACCAAGCCCGTTATAAACCCATTAACCCAGTCATTATGATCTGGGGAAAGTCTGAGTATGAGGGTGTCTAAATTTAGAGCCACTCCTCTGCCCCTGGTTCTGATAGAGGCCTTTTCTTTTGAATATGTGTCTAAGTTCAGGTGCAGTGCCATCAGATCTAGGGTTATACTTGATTAATGACATGATCACCTTATTGGCAGATTTTTTTTTTTTAGCACAAATCTTTGCATTTTCACACTCCTCAAATCAGTTGCCAAATACTTCCTGGAGATAGACCCTGAAAAGAAAATATTTAAATTATTTATATTTAACTGTTTTAGCAACAATATCTCTAAGGCTTTTATTAAAACATATATATATACACACACATACTGGAAGAATAATAGGATTCTGCCAAAAGAGGTATTCAATTCAGAGTAAAATATTTCATAAATTGCACTTTACAAATGCAGAGTTATCTAAAATCAAGATACCAGCAACATTCACAATAGACAGCTAAATGTACTCAAATGTTTGATCCTGTTTTACATCAAAAGGTTTTTTTTTGGCTTTTTTTAAAACGCTTTCTTAAGCATACAACCAAATATTACCCCCAAATCACTATATTTGGTATACTTCCCAACATGAATCTTCAACACTCTCTGGAAAAAGGAAGAAAAAAAAACAGTAGCTTTCACCTCTAGTTTGGCTTGCAGATTTATTTTACTAAATTCAAAACTAAGCACCCCCTCCTCCCTTGACCCCTGGGTGAAAGATCTTTAAGTTAGACTGTAGGTCTTATTTATTTATTTATTTTAGCGGGGTCGTTATGTGTTGCATTTGAGCAGGGATTGGTTGCTCATTTGTGGTTGGACCTGAATTTGGGGCGAGCTAGGGAGAAACCAACATACTATACTTGTAATTCTTGCACTTGTTGTTCGCTCTTAAACCATATTTTTTTTCCTCTTTCTTTAGAGACTTGCGACTGAGGCTGAAAGGTTACAAAAGGAACATGAGTGGAGAGTCGACAGTGATGTAAGTTAGAAGCCATACAGTAAATTCATTAACTTACATGCAAATCAAGAGCTGCATGTGCAGAGAAGTTGTATTTCAATTGTGTTTTAATAACTGTCAAAAAGATTTCATTATATCATGAACTGGCATGAAAGTAAGTAAACTCATGTATGTTTCACAATATTATGAGTTTTAACATTGAATCCAATTTCATATAAAACCATGCTTGTTTCCCTCTTGAAACCACAAACTGCACTGCCTGTGCTGACTGTGGTTGCTTTAGGTCTTCATATGCTCTCTTATGAAATGGTTGCTATCATGAAGATAAATGTTCATTTGAAAATGCAATTTTATTCCTGCCAATTAACAAATGAAACTAATACTCTGCACTTATGCCATTATTGCTTTTAGGTTGGAATTGGAGCTATTTTCAAACCTTAATGACTTCTGTCCATTAAACCTTTTTGTGTAATTTAATGTCATGCATATTATCAAGTGCTGAAAGATTTAAGTAGGACTTATGTCTTTAGTAGACTGATTGATTTATACATTATATAACTATGTATTTGCTTGCCTGGCAAGTGCATACCTTTTTGCTTAATGAACTCAGGTTTTTAGACTGAACCCAATAAACATAATAGTTGTATTTGCATGCAAACGTAAATCATACATAAAACTAACCTGACTTAATTTAAAGATGACAAATTTACACTGAAGCCTTTTAATTAGGTCTTAAACAATTAATCGGATTAATCGTGATTAATTGATTATTGATATAAATGTCAACTACTTTGGTAATGGATTAATAGTTAACTGGAGTATAGAGACTCTAAAATGCCTGTAGCTGACAGAGCGACTCACTTAGAGCAGTAATTATACCAAAATTATTAAAATATATATATATCAACATTTTGCATTTAGGGTTAAAAAAAATGTGTCTCCTCAGTTGTAAAAGTTTGAGTTCCACTTGGTTTAATTTTGTAGAAAATTTTTATCTTTGGCTATCCGATTATTAGTTGATTACTCAAAAAAATAATCAACAGATTAATCAATTTGCTAAATATTCATTAGTTGCACCCCTACATTTAATAGCTCTGGCAGATTGACGTTTAAACCAAGTACATTAACCCCACAGGGGCGGTTAATGTACTTGGTTTGATACAATTTACTAGTAATTTTTCTTTTTAAAACATGTTCACTTAATTATCATCTGACACTCCTAAGCAGATGTCAGTTTTGGGCTCGGTTGTTTTTAGCTATTAAGCTTGTTTCCATCTGATTAAAAACCCCTTTGAGATAATTTTACACTAGCAGTGGTACTAGCAATATTGTTTGCACATGGCTGCAGGGTAGGCAGACAGGTGTTGAGAGTCAGTGAACCAGCTTAGTGGCTCTGGGGCATTATGTCAGCAGTGAGACTAGCTTGTTACCACCAGACTAGCCTGTGTACTGACATGAAGCCCAGCAGTGCAAAACACCAGGATCTTCACTGATCCATGCTGCCAGCAGAGGCCTGCTATTTAAGAAGAGAAAAAACTCCTAATTGACTTAACTCTAAGCTGGAAAAAAAATGACCCCAACTTGAATGCCTTTTTCTCATTCATATTCTTCTCATGTTTCTTTTTTTTATATCTTTGCAGCCCAACAAACTCCTTTACTACAATGCCAAGGATGGTGTAAGTATGTGTATGTGTACGTACATTTTCTGAAAGATGTTGAACAATTCCCTCCTGGTTCTAAAATATCGTCTTTTCCTAAATATGAAGAAATGAACAGGTTTGTATATTATGTACCTCAAAAGAAAAAAAATAGTGCTTATATTGCAGAATTTCTGTGCATTGCATTTTACTATCAACTCTGAACAGCCTTGAAGTCAGTAAGCAAAAGTGTTGCCTTCCATGGACTATGACGTCCTGATTCTTCTTAATGGCTTGTGCCCAGTTGTAAATCGGGAATTCCTTTTTATATTTGTTTTTAATTAATCAAAGCCTGTTTACTTACTGGTAATGGGTAACATTTGTATAAAGAACAATAAAGACCATGTATACCTTTCCATCACATTCCTCTATGCTTTGTACTAAAATAAGTCAAAATAAAATAAATTGAGGCTTGTGGTTGGACTGTCACAAACTGTGGGGAAAGCAACTAAAAGACTTTTATCAGACACTATAAATAGGTCTTTAGTATATGGTAATGAATTTTATTTTTCTTATGCTAAGGTAGGATGTTTATGAGAGCTCAAAATATTTATAATTATTTTAACAGCAATTTGCAAGTTTTCCATCCTCAACCAGCAGGATTTTGGGTAGACTTCCTGTACTCACCACTATAACTGTATTTTCACAAACGGCCCTGGTCCTTCATTCTTCTACTCCATGTAGGCAGCCATCTGCCTTAAGTTAATGTTTTTTACAGGTCCTGTGTTCATTCTGTTTTTCTCGGCACAGATGAATAGGACCTCTTTGGAGAAAGAACAAGAGACAGAAGAGGAGAAGAGAAACCGGTTCATTCCTGACGACTTTGAAATAGACCCGACCTTTAAACGCCACGTCTCCTACAACACCACTGCCGTCCACATCCCTACAGACATATATGAAGGCTGTAAGTTCAAATACCTTTAGATCAAGAAAAACAAATTTATACAGGATTTATTTATTTATCGAGGCCAACAGGGAAACAGGTGGCCAGATAGTATCTGACACCTCCTCCACTTTTTAAAAGGTGGCAAGGATAATCATGTTTTTGATTTGTTATATTTTGACCCCCACAGATCTGACTTCTCCCAGCTGTCTTTATTCATCATAGTATTTTTTAACTGAGCTGACTCACCTACTTGGCAAAACTTAATGTGAAAATTTAATCTTTTCCTTGTTAGATAGTTGAATCAGTCCAACGATGCACAGTCATGCAGAGGAAACATGAGAACCAAATCTGAATTGGGTCTTTTGTGACCATTTAGTAATGCAAATGCTTTTCTGATCATTAAAAGGAAAAAAAAAACAATCATGTCATATTTTACTTTTATTTAGCAGTTTGTATTTCATGAATCTGTCCAACTGAACAACAAAAAACTCCAATCTGATCTTGCAACCATAACAGTGTTGAATATTTCTTCTCAGGAGGTGTTCCTTTCTGCTTTTAAAACCATTTTCAAGTGACAATATTTGAGAGTAAGCCTGCCTATGTGTAGACTCTTTACTTTACTTTAAACATAGCCAGCATTCACCATTAAATATTGGGGTATTCAAACTCTACCTCCAAAAGATAGAAAAGACTCTTTGGAGATACTGAGATACTCTTTTTGTACACATAAAGGTGAGCCTAGGAGGTAAACCAGGTCATCAAGAGCACACAGTAGGTCATCTGATCTACTCCCTGCCCCCACTAATACAAGAGATGAATCAAGCTATATCCTACAATAGAAGTCTTAGGCTATATTCACACTGAAGCCTGAAGTGACCCAAATCCGATTTTTTTTCGCCCATATGCGACCTGGATTTGATCTTTTCATGACGGTCTGAACAACACAGATCAGATTTTTTCCAATGCAACCCAGGCTGCTTGGCTATGTGGTCCTGAAGTCGATATGAATCTGATCTTTTCAAATGCGACCTGTGTGTGAACAGCTAGTTCGCATTCATTCGACCCGAATGTCATTAATACCCGACAGTGGTCCCTCTTCTGCTTCTTGCTATGCAGAAGTGGAAAGACCAACAACAACAATGGTGGACGGTAATGCAGAGAGTAGTATTTATGTTTAACCATCTTGGAAAGATTGAGTTGTTTTTTTTTTTTTAAGATTGAGTTTTAAATTTTGAGAAAGATCGCTAGATGTTCTCCAGCACTACCATCCATGCTTACCGTACTTAAAGACATAGCACTCTTGCTTGTGACGTCATTGCGTCCTTTACTGGGACAGTAATGCGGGACACTTAGGTTGTATGAATGCAGTTCGAACAGGAGATCACATACAAATCGCATATATTTTGAAATGTGAACGGCAACGCAAAAAAATCTGATTTCACAAAAAATCAGAATTGAGCATCAAGGCCTGCAGTGTGAACGTAGCCTTAGTCATGCACACAAAATCTGGTTCTATACAGAGACTGTCGGCACATGCTACAAAATAGTTAAAAATAGAATTAAAATGGCTGAATTTAGATTAATTAGTTTCATTTAAAGTGTGAAAATGAAACATGATTATTATTAATGCTTATGGACCATTTTTTATTTATCTAAATATGTTGGCCACCAATCTCCCTCAGCATTTTTGTCGTGACACTTTGTTCACTAGTTGCAGTGACTTCAGTGATTAAAAAGCTCAGCCTTTGGGCACCATCTGCATTGCAGAAAGCCCTTTAAGTATTCTAGTCTATATATAGTTGGAATGCCACCCACCCATTGGTCAGCACCCTAGCCCCTTTTTTACGCCAGCCACCAGCTGCTGTCATCTCTCATGCTGATAACTGACTCAACCAATAATTGTTGACAGTTTCATAGCATGTTAGCACACTCATTAAAGATCCCTTTGAAGAAGTGTGAGAAACATTTTATTGTTGTTTGAAGTTCATGTCACTGACAAACATATTTTCCTCTTTGCTTCTACACATTCTTCCAACATTGTATGGCTATATTTTTGTATAATAGCCAACCCCAAACACTTTAAGGTTTAGCAATAGGCTTTTAATCTCAAATAAATAGTCAGACATTCAGAGATGGTATATAATTTGTTTTTGACTTTAAACCACAGGATCAAGTATGAATTATATGAAAACCATTTTAAAAACTGGCACAGATTAAATTAATTACATTTATAAGGAAAAAAAGCATCAAACATTAAATATTAAAGAACAAAGGAGCTTCTATCTAAAGCATTGTTAATATAATGTCATATTTAGAACTCATTGTTTTTATTTACACATTTAAGCAGAAGGTAGGGGGAAAAAAACTTGGGTAAGTGTAAAAATAAATTGGTATAAATAAATGCATTTGATTAATTAGTTTAGTTGGGGGAAGAGTTGCCATGAATGTTTATAACTACATGACCTCAGTGCTCAGGAACATGCCACCTTTTTTTACTGTCCAACCAATAGCAGTCTCAAAATGGTATGACATCTTTCTGGAATGGATAAGTGAACTATTATTAATAAGTTTACACAGCTTCACTTCAGGAAAGCAATCTTGAAAATCAAGCTGCCTGGTCAATAAACACCAGTAATATCTTCGTGGTACGAAAAAAGACAGCATCATAGAAGACCGATTAATTTAATAGAATAGGGAAACCTACAATTAGTTAATTTGGTTGTATTTAGGCACACAGTAAAATAATTTTCTTTAATTTGTCTTGATTGCCATTGACTGAGGATTCAGTAATGGTAGCAACCGTTGTCATTGGTTCTGCTGATAGCATGAGTCTTCACCACATGACTTTAATGTCCTTATACAGCAAGTCGCTCCCCATAAGGCGGACTATAAATGTGCAGTGACGGGCCTCAGAGGCCTCTGACTGTGCAGACATTTTGTCATTGCCAAATGCACTTGGTTATTTTTACAAGTAGCAGTTCTAATGATGAAAAGAATGGGGGATGGGTTCAGGAGATTCAGTAGTGCGTTGCTCTAAGTATGATTCAGTCATCTTTTTTTGTAAATCAAAAGTGGACTACTGGCTGCTTGGTTTGAAGTAGGGTTTTAATTTTACTCTGCAGTAAGAAATGCCTGTTTCTTCTTATACTCTTAAACAACTTTTATTGTAATTTTTTTATAAACAGAGTGTATTCAAAACTAAATTTCGTTTAGCACAGCTTTCAGACAGTAAATCCCCATTCCCCTTAGAGGAAATCCCCCATCCCCTTGGAGAGCAGTAGGCTGCCATTGTGTGGCGCCCGGGGATCAATCAGGGGTTAAGGGTTTTGCTCAGGAATCCAAAGGGAAGGCTGTGGGTATCGAACCGGCTACTTGCAGCCTGCTCAGAACGCAAGCGCACTGCTCTAACCCACTAGGCCAACATTCCCCTTATACCTGTTGTTTTGAACTGTTTTTCTTCATTTTAGTACTAGCACTTCATCGCGCCCTTTCTAACATTGTACAGTCCAACATAAGTAATAAAAGCAGTTATGATTTAAGCTAATATCATATCTTATTAGTATCTGTATTGGTTAATTCTCAAAGCTTAATCATCAGTGTCAAATCAGAAATGGGTGGTATCAGGACCCCCCTACTTAGAATAACATAATGCTATTAACATCTAAACTGCTAGCAACAAAAGAGAGCACAACTCCCCAAGTAAAAATACGTGAATTGTGCCCAAATTGGCTATTTGTCCTCCTAATTGACTTAACTCTAAGATGGAAAAAATTGTAATGTGACTCATTTGTGTTTCTAGGTCTCTGATATGGACCTCACAGCAACCTCATTGTTAAACATTTTTGGACCCTGCCAGGTTAGAATTACAAACTTAAGTGTCAAGCCTAAAGACAAGCATGATGGTGAAGAGGTCATGGATTGACACTGCAGGTTGTTTGGGGGGCTGTGATTCATTGAGGGAATCTTGAATGCCAACATGAGACAAACTGTAGTAAAATAATTTGGCCACAGAGCAGTATTCCAACATACAGTAATGACCCAGAACACATCTCCAAGGTAATCACTCCCCTGCTAAAGAAAATTAAAGTAGAGGTGTGGATGGCCAAGCATGTCGCCAGACAGTGAACCCTGTTGAACATCTGTAGTACCTCTTTAAACGGAAGGTGAAGAAGTAAAAGATCCCCTACTGTACCTGCTCTGAGATTTGTCATGGAGTGGAAGAGGATTCCATTGGCAACCCTTAAAGGATAAGTGAACTACATGCCCCAAGAGTAACGGCAGATCTTGAGACTTTGGCATCAATTTTAATATTTTCACTTGGACTGCACCTCTGGTTTAGACATCATCTATGTTAATTATAGGGAGAAATTAACTTTGAATTTTGCACAAGCTGCACACTGACTACTGTACATGAACACAAAAGATACACAATGTTAGATAAATATCAACTGTTTAAATGTGGAATGTATTTAATCTAGGCAGCGCAAATCTGAAAGAGTAATTTAGAATGCCCTCTAGAGTTAAGGTTATTGATGTAAATGGAAATACTGTACTTGGAGAGGGTTGGCAACTGTTTTCAATTAACATGACTCATTTCCTTTTATTAGCATTTCTACCACTTTCTTATGTTTGATTTGAGCTACAATATACACTATATTGCCAAAAGTATTTGCTCACCCATCCAAATTATTGGAATCAGGTGTTCCAATCACTTCCATGGCCACAGGTGTATAAATTCAAGCACCTAGGCATGCAGACTGTTTTTACAAACATTTGTGAAAGAATGGGTCGCTCTCAGGAGCTCAGTGAATTCCAGCGTGGAACTGTGATAGGATGCCACCTGTGCAACAAATCCAGTCGTGAAATTTCCTCGCTCCTAAATATTCCACAGTCAACTGTCAGCTGTATTATAAGAAAATGGAAGTGTTTGGGAACGACAGCAACTCAGCCACGAAGTGGTAGGCCACGTAAACTGACGGAGCGGGGTCAGCGGATGCTGACGCGCATAGTGCGAAGAG